ATTTCCTATTTGCAATCGGGCTTTCGCAAAGGATTTTCAACAGCAGATAATGTTTTTATTATATAGAATCTTATTACTTCGTTGCAAAATAGACACAAGAAGTTAATATTGTGCTTTCATCGATTTCTCTAAGGCTTTTGACAAGGTATGGCGGGCTGGACTTGGACAAAACTATTACGCTGTGGGGTAAAAGGTAAAATATTTAATCTTATCCGAAATATGTATGAAATCATGTGTTATGATAAATAAGATGAAATCAAGCTGCTTTCTATGTCTGTCGGGGGTCCGTCAAGGAGAAGACCTATCTCCTCTTCTTTTCTCATTGTATCTTAATGACCTTGAAGAATATCTAACTTGTAATCGGTGTGATGGTTTGAAGCTAGAATACGATAATGATCACTTGACCATCTACCTTAAAGTTTTAGTGTTGCTATATGCTGATGACACTGTACTTTTCGCCGAAAGAAACTACCATCTCCAGATGCACTTGATTGGTTTTTACGTTATTGTGATTTCTGGAAACTTGAAGTTAACTCAGACAAAACTAAAATACTTATACTTGGATCGGGTTCAGCGGGCAAAACTAAAAACAAATTCCTGTATAATCATTGCCACCTGGAAATTGTTGATACCTTTAAGTACCTCGGAATAACATTTCATAAAAACGGAAGAATGATTACCGCTATCAAACATGCTGCAGATATGGGTAATAAAGCCTCAATGTCTTTATTAAAACGAGCGAGAAATATACATTTACCTTGGATTGTCTTATCTCCTCTTTCGATAAAGTTGTTGTTCCTGTCTTACTTTACGGTTGTGAAATCTGGGTTTTGAGAACACTAATGTGTAGACTTGAAATTTCTAAAGCTTACGGCAGGTCTGAGGATGTCAACAGACAACTATATGGCTTACGGTGAATTTGGGAGAGAACCGATGCGCATACAAATAGATAAACATGCTACAGCATACTGGTGCAAGTTATCATGTCCTAATCCTACCAATAAAATTGCCTCATTTATGCTAAATTACATGCTTAGTAAACGTACATATGGCTATTCTTATCCTTGGTTAAATTACATCAAAGATATTTTCAGAACTTGTGGTATCCCGCATTGTTTTGAATATCCACATTTTTTTTCAAAAGAATTGTTAACTGCAAAAATGGTTCTAATTATAACGGACCAATCATTGCAGTCCTGGAGAAGTGCCATTCGTGATTTCCCGAAAGGTTTCTACTATTCTATAATTAAAGATTCACCATGTTTTGAAAAGTATTTATTACTCACTGACAACATTTATAAACATTTACTATATCTTAGAACAAGTAATCACAAATTGCCTATATAACAGGGTCGCTGGTCGAACATTCCTCGTGAAGAGAGATTTTGTACATTGTGTAGCTTTCAACAAATTGGCGACGAATTCCACTATTTATTTAGATGTAAAGCACTGGCGAATGAACGTTCTTCTTTTATCAGTGATTATCATTATAAATGGCCTAACGTGTTAAAAAGTAAGCAAATTGTTGGGAATAATAGGATACATGTCCTGAAAAAAATGTCAAGATTTGTGAATGTTGTGTCTGCCATCTTGCTGTAACCTCTATATAACTATGTGTAAAATGTACCTCATGTGCCACCGTTGGTGGAGTAATAAAGTGTATCAAAGGTGTGCAGGAAACGATCCCAAAGGCGAGATGGTTTAAATATATTTTTATTCCGTCAATGCAGAAACCTGGATAGGCGAACAAGCCTAGTGGCTTATATAAACGCCGCTCCAGTCCACGGTTCCAATATAGCTGGATACATAATTGAAATAGTCCGACAAGAATAGAATAATACTGAAACAAAATTACACTCAGAAAAATGATTGAATAATAAATATTTGGTTATGGTGTTGGTTGTGCCTAGCAACGAAATGAGCTGCCGCAGAAAATCAAGTTATATAAATCTTGTCTTGTATTGAATATACATGTATATGTAGAGGTGATAATCACTGGAAGCGCTTACTTTTAGAAATGAACTGGTGTAATTAGTTGAGAATGTCACAATTTGTTGAGTTATCCAATGCGCCGTTACCGTATAAGGTAGTTTTCACATCGTATCCTTGAATATAAAAATACACCGTTGTTCTTAAATTTTGATAGTTCCGACATGTAAAAAGGTAGTGAATGACGTCTTCGTTATAATGACCACATGAACACTTAGCTGTTTCTGATATATGTCGATTATATCTGTCTGCGTTCAGATCACTACAACCGAGCTTGAGGCGACAATGGATGATTTGACAAAATCTAGTCCCAAAATTTAAATCCAAGTAGTTGTGAGTATCTGTTGGATTTATCATGGTTTTAAACTGCCTCACGGAAATAGCGTTTACAGCTCCATCGGGCAATGAATTCCACGACATAATCGCGCTCGGTAAAAATGATTGAGAATATCTTTGCGTTCTACAGTTAGTAGTTTGAATGGAAGTACTATATCTAAGATTATAGTTGCTTTGTTGAAATACTCTACCTGGTACAAGATCATTCAGAATCAGGAGTCAGACGATGATACATTTTATAGAAAGTTATAAGTTTAGAGCGATATCGTCTTTGTTTCAGTGTGCTATAATTGGTTTCCTTGTATATTTTATCATGACTGGTGCCACGAACCGCAGCGCATATAGTTCTTAATGCGTCTAAGTGTAAATTTTCCAGTAAAATCGCCTGTTCAATCGTACAATTATCCCATAAACGACAGCAGTAATCAAAAAGTGGTAAGATAAAGGAGTTATATAAAGTATTTAGCGTTTTCCGAGATAAACGATATTTCAAACTTCTCAGACAATTGATCATTGGACTAATTTTCTTTACCATGTCACCTATATGAACTTTCCAAGAACAATCGCTTTGAAGTGTTATACCTAAGAGTTTATGGTTATCAACTTCTTGAATAGTTTCGCCATTCATTAGTAAGTTCGGCCTTGCATAATTTTTCGTTTTACGAGTGAATGTTATACTCTCAGACTTACTAGGATTAAAACTTACTTGCCACTTTCTGGCCCAGTCTGAAATTTTTGCCAAATCCTTGTTTATAATTGCGGCTGCTGTAATATGATCATCTATTATAGCATATATTGATGTATCATCAGCAAAAAGGCGAATGTTACTGTCTATACCATCTACAATGTCATAATGTCATAATATAAATGATGAACAGAAGCGGTCCTAAAACGGAGGCGAGATGCTCTGATGAACGTTGAAATGTCGGGCAACTGCAGACTGCGACTCCCCAGCTTCAAGGCGGCCTATGCCATGTTTACAATCACACGAAGATGACGGTTTGAAAGAAGTAGTATATTTATATAGTATATTTATATCGCTTTGGCAGCAGCTACATGAGTCTAATCAAAATCATATATGCGTTTCTTTCTTTTGAAGAGTGTATACATATCGATAGATTGACTTGACCGGGCAATGTGCCTGAATTTTTCTTTGTTAATGGGCTAATTTAGTCGTGCTTTCATTCATTTACCAAGAGGTGAAATCTGGCCAAGTGCCTGAGTGTCTGAATAGTAGCTAATGCATAGTCTTACTTACATCATATACTCGCACATCAAGAGATATTCGGGGCGGCGGGGTAACCTAGTGGTTAAAGCGTTCGCTCATCACGCCGAAGGCCCGGGTTAGATTCCCCACATGGGTACAATTTGTGAGGCCCATTTCTGGTGTCCCCCGCCGTGATATTGATGGAATATTGCTAAAAACGGCGTAAAACCATACTCAGTCAGTCAAGAGATATTCATTGTGCCTTAATGCTGTGAGCAATGATCCGACTACTAAGTGCACGTGTACTCACTCAAGTGGTGATAGTTTGTTGGCGTCATCACAATACTGTGAGTGATTGTAATTAGGCCCTAATTACCCGGACAATGAATTGTCATGGGCTTGATTATTGCCTGTCTGTGTATTTCTGTAGAGCTGGCGGGTATTTCTGAAGGGAAGGGATTTGTGAAGGTTTAGTGATCTCTAAAACGTGGATGGCAACGGAGGGCGCGCAGTACCAAAATCTGAACTATTCCCAGAAACAGATTCCATTTCATGTATTGCAAAATCAACGCTGTGACAATTATTACACGAATGGGTCACTAAAAATCAGCGGTGACACCAGGTGTTCGCGACAAAGGAAATCAAGTTCTTCGCTACATGTACATTCACACAATTCGCCTAAATGTGTACCCTTTTGGATCAGTTTGTACAATCTTGGATTTCAAGTATTACTCAATCATCAAAAGGATCTTATTATTCAATGTATAAAAATGCACTTATTCCTGAATCTTATCTTAAATTACCCTTTCAAAGTAGAATTTGGCTAACAAAATGTAAGACAACAATCATAGGTTACCAAGACTGACTGAGTTTGGTTTTACGCCGCTTTTAGCAATATTCCAGCAACATCACGGCGGGGGACACTAGAAATGGGCTTCACACATTGTACCCATGTGGGGATTCGAACCCGGGTCTTCGGCGTGACGAGCCAACGCTTTAACCATTAGGCTACCCCACCGCCCCCAGGTTACCAAGAGAAACAGGGCGCTGGCTAAATATGTTTAAAGGAAACCTACTTTGTAATCAAGCTGTATGTGACGAATTCCATTTTTTACATACATGTCCATCGCTTGTTGAACAATGAAAACCTTTTTACCAAAATATTTCTGTGTGAATCCCTCAATCTGTAAATTTATTTTTCTTATGAAATGTGACTATCAACCACACATCCTCAAATTATCGAAATATATAAAACACTGTTAGTACCTCTTCAAATGATATCATGTGAATATTTTATTTATATTTATATATACCTGTATGTTCTCTATATCACTTTTTGTGTTTTTTTGAAAAAAGAATTCTGTTCTGTTTTGTTCTTCCTAAATGTGTAGGTATTTCTATAGCCCAACGCCGCACAGCAACACAACTGCCATGCAAGGGAGGGCAGTAAACAAACCAGACAATCAAGTGATCGATGAACGCATTTATTGTTTGAAATAGCATCGGCTGCGCAGAGTTTATTTAGAAAGGTGGCTGCTCACTGTTGGTTGATGTACACGTGTGCTGAGACGTTGTCGTCGCTGTTACAAGGGGACCTCGCAGACGTATCGACGCTGGTGGTGGCAGTAGAGGTCACTGATCCCCGCAATGTTCAGCTGACCACAGTCCTCCCCCCGACCGTTGTCCGGCTCCCCTTTCCCCCAAGCGGGGACTTTTGTGGATCCTGTTGTCCATCTAAACCCAGACGACGAGGTTCGTTTCAAACCAATCCACACACGGTAGTTATTTGTCACTGAAAATATAAAATGTGAGTTGTGAGCATAGCCGTTAGTCGAATGAAAATCACAGTTATTTAAAACAGGCATCATAGACCGTCAAGTTTTGATAGAAATGATTGTTGTATTAATGGAAGCAGTTTTAAAAAACATAAGCGTATTAAACTATTCCATCCAGTCACAGCTGTCACATGTCTCTGCCTCTTCAGTTGTTTACGGTGCTCGCTCAGGGGGCATGTGGTTCTGATTTAGTGTAGTGGAACCTATAGTGGATCCGGGGGTTTATCGTAACGTATACCCTGGAGATTATCGAGGATGCCGTCACACATGATGGGGCATGTCCTTGTGATGCAACAGGGCTGACCGAGTAGCATTGTGGGTGAAGCGGTCGATTACCCAGGTGGGGAGTCGAACCTTGGTCCTCGTCATGACGAGCGAACGCTTTAACCTCAAGGCTACCCCACCGACTCTAGACTAATGCTTAGTCTCTGAAGATATATAATTGTGATAGTAACAAACAAGCCCATTTAAATTAAAAAGGAACCTGAGGTAATCTAGACTTGCTTTATTTAGGGCTTTAGCACTGCAGAGAGGGCTGGGCAGTAGATAAAATAATGTGGTTCAGGGACTGTGAGACAGACTACATTGCAGGGAGGGCTTGGCAGTAGAGAAAATAATGTGGTTCAGGGACTGTGAGACAGACTACATTGCAGGGAGGGCTTGGCAGTAGGGGAAATAATGTGGTCCAGGGACTGTGAGACAGACTACATTGTAGGGAGGGCTGGGCAGTAGGGGAAATAATGTGGTTCAGGGACTGTGAGACAGACTACATTGCAGGGAGGGCTTGGCAGTAGAGAAAATAATGTGGTTCAGGGACTGTGAGACAGACTACATTGTAGGGAGGGCTTGGCAGTAGGGGAAATAATGTGGTCCAGGGACTGTGAGACAGACTACATTGTACGGAGGGCTTGGCAGTAGGGGAAATAATGTGGTTCAGGGACTGTGAGACAGACTACATTGCAGGGAGGGCTTGGCAGTAGGGGAAATAATGTGGTTCAGGGACTATGAGACAGACTACATTGTAGGGAGGGCTTGGCAGTAGGGACAATAATGTGGTTCAGGGACTATGAGACAGACTACATTGTAGGGAGGGCTTGGCAGTAGGGGAAATAATGTGGTTCAGGGACTGTGAGACAGACTACATTGCAGGGAGGGCTTGGCAGTAGGGGAAATAATGTGGTTCAGGGACTGTGAGACAGACTACATTGTAGGGAGGGCTTGGCAGTAGGGGAAATAATGTGGTTCAGGGACTGTGAGACAGACTACATTGTAGGGAGGGCTTGGCAGTAGGGGAAATAATGTGGTTCAGGGACTGTGAGACAGACTACACACAGACAGGAGTGTTTTATACATTGCCCCGAGTTCCTTGAAGATGGAGACCCAAGATGAGGAAGGAGACGCGTTCTAAAACATTTGTTACTACTATAAAACGAATACATATCTTTCGTATGTTTGATGATGAATATTACCCTCAATAATGTTGGAATCTGACACCATGGTGTAGCGGTTAGAGCGTCCGCAGGAGAGCGGAAGTTCGTGGTTTCGATCCCCGAGCGTCATACCAAAAATGACGTGATTTACTTTGGGTGCAATATGGCCGGCCGCGGCGTTAACAAGTAACAATTATGTGTCATGATGCTTATAAATATACACTCATTCAAAACATGAATTCTGAGCAAACTTAAACATTCTCGACCATGGGCCACTGTTCGCTGAGCGAGTTTAAATTTAAAGATTTCGAATTTATTTTTTTTCATCCTTGGCATATATTCATAACAACAGTATGTTTAATTTGGTCAAATCCCTTGTCAGAAAGTGCCCACAGTGCGGAGAGTTTCTGGACTTTTGTGAGTCCAGAATTAAATTGTGACGTGTTAATAGTAACCACTCCTTCATGTCTTGTTCCTCTGTCACGGCTTCTCTCCCTACTTTATTTACTGATTCCCAAGTTTGGTTGGAAGGAACATCTCTTACTTGTGTCTCCTGCTTTGGCTCCCAACCCGGTCAAATATCCAGCAACGATGCCATACTTCTCTGGCGTGTCCAGGTCGACCAGACGCCCACGTGACATCTTCCGACACTGATCCACGGCGGATTGGTAGTTCCTTGTGTCCTTGAATTCACTGAGTCGGAAGCACATCTTGGGCTTCACAATCTCTGTGTATCCTTCAGGACAAATGTCTACAAAACGCAGGCACCGAAATAAGAATAAGCTCAACAGATTAATGTTAAAAAGTGTTGCCTAGAAACAAATTTTTATCGTTTGCAAAACATATTGGATGATGGCTGTGGTCTTGCTTTTTGGTTTGATTTCTAAGAAAATGTGTTGGGTTTTTTTGTGTGGCTTTTTTCCTGTTTGGTAGCGTTGTTCCAGCTACATGACAGCGGTTTGTAAATAATCTGGACAAGACAATGAAGTGATTAATATGGGCAAAGAAAGTTCAAATGGATTTACAAATGGTACAGCATTGTCCAGAGCTCCAGATACGTGCTCTTTATTTGTTCAATATAGGAGTACTGGAAAAACTTTACATTTAGAGTATTGAATGTAAATTAAGGGAGTATCAGTAATCTTGTGTTTCGTTTCATATATGCACCACAACATTGTGTAAACAGGTCAATAAACAATACTTTTTCAGATAAATACGTCTTTAAATGATTCTAAGACCGTACACCATTGCTGTGGTGCGTATCTGCTACATTTTCTAATTTTTCTCTTACCACACTGTGCATATGTTTTATCCGTACACAAGGCAATGCGACCCTTATCGGGAGCCTGATTGTCAATTATGTCACGAACGGTGACCATACCATACATCCAGTATGTCGCCACTGACAGCCGGGCTGCTAAACTCCAACATGGGATGGAGAACATGGGTTCGAATCACTGTTTGGGCAATGATTTTTAAAAATGAAAATCTAGAGTTTTGCAATCACATATTGTTTTTTTTCATATGTTATGATTAACATAGATTTCAAAATTTGAACGAAATTGGTGACAAAATAATAATTTTAGAAAATTCTACCGATCAACTCATTACATAAAATACGTATATATAGTATGACCAGAAATTATTGAGAATTTTAGGAATGTGTTTAATTGGATTTCTAGTATAAACAACCTTGACCAGCTATCAAGTGCTTGGTTTCATTCTAGAGAGACAACTCCGTTAATCCCTTTTCATTAGTTTGTGAAGAGTTATCCCCATTTGTTTACTTGCTAGCAGACGACATTTTCAGTGATCCTCAGTATGGATGATTTAGAGAAGAGGAAGTTGAATTTAGAGTATTATAACAAGGACATCAGATCAGCTAAAGTGATTTCAAGTAGAACAGGCATCCCTTTGTCAACTGTTTATCGTGTTTTGAAACATATTGCAAATGGATACGGCATTGAGCACCAGGGAGGCGCAGGTAGGCCCAGAAAATTGACTGTCGGTGACAGGAGGCGGCTTGGTATTCTTGTTTCTAAAAACAAACGAAGGAGTTTACAAAACCTAAGGCTGGATATGATTGATAGAGGAACTGTGGCTGTCTGTAGGGAGACAATTAAAACTGAGCTGCATTCAATGGGTTGGCAGAAAAGTCGAAGAATTCCATCACCGATCATGAAACCTGAACAAAAGGAGCGAAGGTTGAATGGTGCTTACAGCATAGACATTTTAACTGGGACAATGTGATTTTCTCAGATGAAAGTTCTGTGTGGCTGTTTCCTAATACATTGAAATTCTGGACCAAACAAACTGAAAAACCTTTGTATCAGCGCCCAAAGTACAGTCGGAAATTTAACGTGTGGGGTGGCATATCTGTGTTATGGGCAACGCCCCTCTGCGTATTTGAAGGGAATATGAACAGTGAGCGGTACACAGATATCATCGATGGATATTTACTTCCATCTGTTCACGTGTTCTATGGAAATGTTTGGATTTTCCAGCAGGACAACGACCTAAAACATCGTTCAAAGCATTCACAGGCCTGGTTTCGGACCCAAAATATGACGTTATTAGATTGGCTAAGCTATAGCCCTGACCTAAATCCAACAGAAAATGTTTGGGGACTTATGAAGGAAAGTGTCAATAAGAAAACTCTGACAAATATTGCTGAAATGAAAGAAGAGGTGGTCCGATATTGGGACAGCATGGACCAAGACTTTCTAACTTCTTTGATCAGTAGTATGCCCCGCCGCATTGAAGCCTGCATTGCTGCCCATGGTGACTTCACAAAATACTAACTGTTCAACTGTCTTTGAATCTGGAGTTATGTTCTGCTAATATTCACATTTAATACGTGAGGAATGAGTGAAAAAAATAAAACAATTTACAATCTTAAATTTTCAATAATTTCTGGTTGTACTACTTATGTAATGAGTGTAGCGATAAAATTTTCTAAAATTTATGTAATGAGTTTAGCGGTAGAACTTTTTGAAATCTTCTGAAGCCCATCTCTGGTGTCTCCATCCGTGGTATTGCTGGAATATTGCTAAAAGCGGCGTAAAACCATATTCGCTCCTTCCCTCACTCGTAATCCAAAAAGGACCCAGTGAAAATGAACCTACGAACTAGGTCAAATGACGAACTGGTGGGGGTGTTTATGATTTTGTAGCACATGTTGGCGGTCATTGGTTTATACCCGGCAGGACAGGCACCTGTGGAATAGAATCGGTAAGCCAGATTAAACAACATCAATGCTGGTTTTCTGTATGTTTTTTCATAATCATTGATATTTGAGCGGCCTTTGATGGCCAAGAAGAGACGAGGGGAAGAATAGAGGACAGAGAGAAACAGGAAGTACAAAAGGGAACGACAGACAAGAAGTACAGACAGGAAGGAGAGACAGAAGGAAGGACAGGTAAGGATCGACGGGACAGAGATACAGGAAGCAGAGACATGAAGTACAGACCGGAAGTTCGGACATGAAGTACAGACCGGAAGGAAAGACTATAAAAGGATAGAATGAGACAGGAAGTGGAGACAAGATGTACGGACGGGAAGGAGAGATGAAGTACAGACGGGAAGGAGAGATGAAGTACAGACGGGAAGGAGAGATGAAGTACAGACAGGAAGAAGAGATGGAGTACAGACGGGAAGGAGAGGTGAAGTACAGACGGGAAGGAGAGATGAAGTACAGACGATAAGGGGATATAGAAAAGGATTGAGGGGACAGAGGGAGACAGGAAGTGGAGACAAGATGTACAGACGGGACGGAGAGGTGAAGTACAGACGGGAGGGAGAGATGAAGTACACACGGGAGGGAGATGAAGTATAGACGGGAAGGGGATATAGAAAAGGATTGAGGGGACAGAGGGAGACATGAAGTGGAGACAAGATGTACAGTTTGGAAGGAGAGATGAAGTACAAACGGGAAGGGGAGATAGAAAAGGATTGAAGGGACAGAGGGAGACAGGAAGTGGAGACAAGATGTACAGACGGGATGGAGAGATGAAGTACAGACGGGACGGAGAGATGAAGTACAGACGGAAAGGGGAGATAGAAAAGGATTGAGGGGACAGAGGGAGACATGAAGTGGAGACAAGATGTACAGACGGGGTGGAGAGATGAAGTACAGACGGGACGGAGAGATGAAGTATAGACGGGAAGGGGAGATAGAAAAGGATTGAGGGGACAGAGGGAGACATGAAGTGGAGACAAGATGTACAGACTGGAAGGAGAGAAGAAGTACAGACGGGAGGGAGAGATGAAGTACAGACGGGAGGGAGATGAAGTACAGACGGGAAAGGGAGATAGAAAAGGATTGAGGGGACAGAGGGAGACATGAAGTGGAGACAAGATGTACAGACGGGAGGGAGGGATGACGTACAGACGGGAGGGAGAGATGAAGTACAGACGGGAAGGGGAGATAGAAAAGGATTGAGGGGACAGAGGGAGACATGAAGTGGAGACAAGATGTACAGACTGGAAGGAGAGATGAAGTACAGACGGGACGGAGAGATGAAGTACAGACGGGAGGGAGATGAAGTAGAGACGGGAAAGGGAGATAGAAAAGGATTGAGGGGACAGAGGGAGACAGGAAGTGGAGACAAGATGTACAGACGGGAGGGAGAGATGAAGTACAGACGGGAAGGGGAGATAGAAAAGGATTGAGGGGACAGAGGGAGACAGGAAGTGGAGACAAGCTGTACAGACGGGAGGGAGAGATGAAGTACAGACGGGAAGGAGAGATGAAGTACAGACGATAAGGGGATATAGAAAAGGATTGAGGGGACAGAGGGAGACAGGAAGTGGAGACAAGATGTACAGAAGGGAAGGAGAGATGAAGTACAGACGATAAGGGGAGATAGAAAAGGACAGAGGGAGACAGGAAGTGGAGACAAGATGTACAGACGGGAACGAGAGATGAAGTACAGACGGGAAGAAGAGGTGAAGTACAGACGGGAAGAAGAGGTGAAGTAAAGACGGGAAGGAGAGTCAGGAAAGGATCTTGGTTACAGAGAGGCGGGAAGTAACCAATCTTCAATACAACAGAAGAGGGCTTGTAATGTGTATGACCGACTGATATTGAGACACAGGAGAGAAAAGGAGATGAGAAGAGAAGACATCGGACAAGAAGTAGAGTCGAGGAAATGGGAAGGAGAGGCTGGGTGAGAGACATGAAGCACATATACATCAGTATGTTCTCAGTAAAGTGGAGGGAATTGTTTTATATGTTTCTAAACCTACCTAAAAGCCCAGTCACTGCACAGGATAAAAGAAGGATGAGTCTCAACATTGTCCTCTCTGGTTCTGGAACAGATTCACCTGCAGAAACTTTAGAATTTTGTAGAAAATAGTTCATACAAAAGAGGATTTAATCACGATTTTGTGTTTAAAATATCCTGCACTGTTCACTGGTAGACCAGAAAAAACTCCTTCCGGTTGGGTTTGGGACAAGGAAATGTGATGGTGTTCTGCTATTGCAGGGGTTTGGGGTCGGGGTGGGGTGGAGGATCCAGCAACTTCGAATGTGTATAGTGCAAGACAAAATTACATCAGCATTGAACATATCGATGCTGTTGGAGCTGGTTGCCTAGACACAGGTATGTTAGGTATTCTTCTCTCCTGCTACTCCAAGCCCTTACCAACACTGATCCACCACCATACAAATTCGCGCCAAAACTGTATTTCTATGTTCATTAGAAATATTAAAGCAGAAATGAATTGTTGTGTACATATTTACTAGTTGTTTGTTGTTCGGGACTTTAAACCAGCGAAAGGGAATCGGTTATTATTGAAAGTAGATGTACTGTCAAACACTGACCCAGATAGCATTAAGACGTTGGCCCAACGTTGGCAATGGTTTTGCCAACATTGCTGAATGCTATCTGGGGATGTGTCGAACGGTTGTCTCGAAGTAAAGGCCACTTCCTTATTTGGTTATCACTTTGTGGCTGTGTGGATAACTTTATGCGTTTACGGAGATTTTCTCACCTTCAACGGTGATGTTTTAGATTTAATCAAAATGGCAGGATGGAAGCAAGGTAAACACAAGCAGAAGTATGGAACACTGTACTTACAATAAGATACTGCTCCCGTGAATGCAAACTGTAGATTGTAATGATGTTTTTGATTTAACCAAAGTGGCAGAATGGAGGCAAAGTAAGTACAAGACAGCAGTATGGAACATACAGTGGTTTCCTCCCCTATCAAGCTGTTGTACCATGGTATAAAATCAAGAATTGGTCAAAACAGCGTTTGACCAAACTACCTTACTTTCGGACATTTCATCTGTGTAAACCAGAGTTTGAAAGTAATAATACCTTTTCGCCGTCTTAATGATTTTGATGGTAGATTCATTTTTTAAAAGCACAGGTCCTCCTGGATAAAGGTAACTTACCTGGAGAATCTTCTCGCTGAAGAATGAAGTACAGTTGATCTTTCTCTGTATATTATATAGGACATTTCTGCAGACTGTTGCAAATGTTATGTATGGAATACGCAACATTATCAGTTTTGGGTAACATGATTTACATTGATGTATTAATGTAAGAGTTTGCGATTTCACAACCTTAACCGTAACAAATTACTTTCAAGTATTTTAGTGGTAACTAAGCTTGATCAAAGGACAGGTTCACATCTATAGCGTGAGGAAACCATTCTGTATTCATATTGTTCCGAAACAGACACTGACAGTGGAAGTGACAGGAGGTATAAGTTATATTATATATTGATGTATATGATTCATATCACTACACCAGAAATGGACTTTACACATTGTACCAATGTGAGGCATCGAACCCAAGCAAACACTTTAACCTCTTGGCTACCCCACCGCTACAGTCAAAACTGGAGGTCGGAAGCGTTTCTGGAATATTATTCACAAGTTCAAATTTAATTATGAATCGCTGTATACACAGGAGACGCCAGCAGATGAACAGACATTTAGAAGAAACTTTGCGTTTCCATGGCAATACATTTGTTCAATAAATAAGAGTTTATATCCGGAGCTATCTGGAGATAATCGGTCAGTTTGCTGGTTGTCTGGTCCATCAGTTGATTGTGGTCTATTTAGAGCCACGTCACAAAGCAGGAGAACAGGCGAATGGCTCCTCTTACATATTTATGCAAATTGGGTGACTGGCGGGTTTACTGCCAGGCCAGGATATGCCAACACCCCTGGGGAACACCTGAGTTGTTGTGTCCCATTCATTTAGGAGATAAACATCATGTGTTGGGTTATTTCCGGGTGTTATTGAGTATTTGAAGCACGGGAATTCATTTGGAACCGACGATATTCCTGTGCTTCAAATACTCAATAACACCCGGAAATAACCCAACACATGATGTTTATCGACATTGTAAACACAAAAGTAAACCAAAACGTCCACACACATTTTTGTGTCTGCACTCATTGACATCGAGTACTGGTACAGCAATGAAATGTCATAAGCCGGCCGTTTCGGCTGTCTCCCATGGTAGCATCTGGAACTGTTTATTTGTGACGTCATTCGGACTTTACGTCACAATATGATTTGAATGATGTCATCACAGCTGACGACGTAACAATACAATGGTGTGAGCGATGTTGCGATGTTTGTATGTATTAATACGCAGCGAATTTCCGGGAATCAAATACTCAATAACACCCGGAAATTGGCCAACACATGATGTTTATCGACATTGTAAACACAAAAGTAAACCAAAATGGTCCACACACGTTTTTGTGTCTGTACTCATTGACGTCGAGTACGGGTACAGCAGTGAAATGTCATCAGCCGGCCGTTTCGGCTGTCTCCCATGGTAGCATCTGGAACTGTTTATTTGTGACGCCATTCGGACTTTACGTCACAATATGATTTGAATGACGCCATCACAGCTGACGACGTAACAATACAATGGTGTGAGCGATGTCTGTACGTATTAATACGCAGCGAATTTCCGGGAATCGAATACCATTCGATCATGTTTTTCAACCAATCAGATTAAAGAACACAGTGACTTTTGGTTTACAATTCGTTTTAACTGGCATTTTGACTTTCACGCCCGTGTATTCTGTCTCGGTGGATAATATAATAATATGTGTTTATTCAGTAAGGGGGGGCATCGGCCCTTTATACACATACATATCAGAAGGGTTCAAGATATGACCCGACCGCGTCATACCAAAAGACGCTAAAATATGGTACTTGTTGGTCCCTGCCTGGCGCTCGGCATTAATGGGTACAACAAGGACTGGTCGGCTCGGAGTCAGTATAATGTGTCTGAGTGGGGTATTCTTGCTTCGCTGCGGCATGGTATCTCAGTGGGCTAGCACTATAAAACCAGCTTCAGTCTGGGCTAGTACAAGCAGCCGCACATACACATACACATGCATGCACGTCGTCATGTGAGCGAAATATTCTCAAGCACGACGTAAAACCCAATTTCACCTCACCTCACCTCAAGATATGACATGAAGCGCCATAAAAGGGACGGAATCTGACATCTGGGCTGGTAACTTAAAAAAATTACCAGCCCGGAAGAGATTTAACCAGTCCTTCTTAAATCCTAAATAGGCAGCGCCAGTGGACACGTTATCTGAATAATTGTTTTCACCCGTCCATCGGGCTGGCTAGCTGTAAAATTAAACTGTCCCGCAGAAATCTAGCCCGTCTCGGGCGGTCGGAAGGGTCTTATTTCATACACTGACGTACGTTGCGTGCAAGATTTAGACGTCTGCCATATTCAATCATTATCATATGATTTGAACAGAGAAATCTACAAAGGGCAATACAATATACCTTCACATTTACAGCACTATTGGAATATTCTTCTGGCAGTCATTTTTATTTGTCTGACAAAATCTCGTTTAGTATATATTTCAAGATTGAGGCCCACGTTTGAAGATCATTATCAATACACCTCTGCTTCAATTGTATAAGGAAATTGTTTACATTTGTAATTTGTTGATCAACCCAAACATTTCCAAAACCATAGCTGAAGAGAAGTTTCTTAACTCTCAAAGCCCAACAATCAAGATTCCTTTCAGCTCAATGATACTGATATTGATATACTTTATACAAAATAATATTCTTATCTTGACTTATTAACCTAGTCTAGTATGTCACAACTTTATAGTAAATATTAGACCCGTGAAGATCCGGGATAGAATAGGTCTTCAGCAACCCATGTGCTTGCCATAAAAGGCGACTATGCTTGTCGTAAGAGGCGACTAACGGGATCGGGTGGTCAGTTTCGCTGACTTGGTTGACACATGTCATCGGTTACCAATTGCGCAGATCGATGCTCATGCTGTTGATCACTGGATTGTCTGGTCCAGACTCGATTATTTACAGACCGCCGCCATATAGCTGGGATATTGCGGAGTGCGGCGTAAAACTAAACTCACTCACTCACTATGGTAAATATTAACCTTCAAAGCATAGCGACCTATTCACCACGTGAAATGATGTTTGGGGTAGTAACAGAGAGGTGAAGTATTTGCTTACAAAACTTGTCATGAATACTTTGTATATTTGGTGAGGGATGAAAAACCCAAATTTCAGACCAATACGCGGTGGATAATGGACAGAGAATATTTAGTGGAGCTGACTTTGTATATCTATAACGTCCTACATTAAGTGATGTGACAGATATGTGATCATCAGGAAGTCTACATGATGTTTGCCTGTATGTATAAATGTGGAAAGGATGAAGGTCGAATAACGTGAACACCTGTGCACGTGTGACCTGATCTGAAACTCAATCAAACTGATCACCTGGTTTTGTGTTCCTAATATACTCTCCAGAAAAAAACCCGGTGCATTGTTAACATTATGTCAAAATGTGCACGTATAACAACAATTAATACACTGAGCTCCTAAAGAAACGCATCACCCTATTATCATTCATAATGAAATATGCAAAACGAATTTTGAACCTAAACTGTGCTATGACTATAGCAGATACACGTGATGCAGACTAAGAAGCACGTACATCCTTGTGTGATCACGTGATCCACCATTTGCTGAAAATCACCTTTTCACGTGCAAATCGAGATTGCATACAACGTACAATTGGTAGTCATGGCAGGACACATCTACACACCTGTCGTGGTCGAGTTACAGCTCAAACATACACAGCGGAGGTACCAAGAACAACAGCCGTTCCCTACATGGCGGCAGGTCAACGTCTTCACATTTTGCAACAGGGTAGTGCAGGACCCCATACTGCTAGAGATAGCATGAACTGTCTTCACCAAAACAACATTCCTCTCCCGCCGTGGCTGTGCTCGACGCAAATACCCGTTAATCCCCCTTCAACGTCAATCAACGATATCGTTAATTTATGGCTGCACTAATTGATGAATGACTGCTTTGCTTTTTCTGGTGTTTCCATCTTTATTGACAGTTTCAATGTCAGCAGGGACAAGTTCTTTGTTTCATTTGTCATCCCGGTTATGCGTTTCTAAAGTAGTTAAGTATAGTTTCCATGTAAACTTTAATAGTGGATATTGATAATGGAGATATTGGTGCTATTGGAATCCAAATAGCGGCAAAGGAGCGGCTATGTCACAGGGTATTCTCACCATGTGCAGCGAGACCACCAGTGCATCAGGTCTATCAAATGGCCATGGACGACTTCTGGAATATTTGTCATAACTATTATCTGGTAGATTTTGTACACAGTGAAGATGTTGTTGCATTTTGTCCCTTTTGACCCAGACACGTGCAGTAGGGGAATGGAGGAGGTCGGACACCATGTGAGATAGCAGGCAAAGGCAGTACGTGACCATTGTGCCGTTGAAGAAGAGCCATTGCAACCCTAGCTGTGTGAGGATGTGCATTGTCCTGTTGGGATGTCCATGCTTGCCCATGACGTTAAAGAATCTGATCTCTGTAGCTTACATCACTTGTCACAATGCCCTGAACAACGGGTTCTCTGACGTGCAAATCATCACGAAACCCAAAGCTATTCCTCTCCAGGACACAGGCTGAAGCATAAGGCTCCCCATGACGTCTGTGGACATGTTGACGTCCGTCACTCCTCCACCACCGTCGACTTCGGCAACATCTTTAGAGGTTTTCTCGGTGACGTTGCGTAAAGATATATCATATGATCGATCATAATGGTTGTAAGTACGTGAGAGGTTCATGGCTGTTTTGGATTGATACGCCAAATAGTCCTGGGCCCCGTTCCTCAAACCGATCGTAGCGCTAAGGTGATCGTAACTCCCATATTTTAACATAGACTTACGACTGTCGTTAGAGGATTATATGTTATTTAATTATCCATGTTATACATGATGTGTTTACTTTCATTGCAGATCTCCATCATTTATGATCGACCGTGAATAAACAGTCATCTGTAAAAAGTATTGCCTACTTATTTATGATGGAGATCTTTCATGTATAATACTCCTAAATGCTGTGCAAAGACTTTAAACACGGTCTGGTTTAACGAAGTTTCACTGCATACCGGGATGGCCATTATCTTCTTGTCACTTCTTGGTTTGTAGACTTTTCTGGGATTGTCATTTCTTGCCTTTGGTAGGAAAACTGTATTGCAGGAAAACCAATTCTTTTCGGAAGTCGTTTATCATTCTTGTATTGTTACAATAATAAGGTTTTTTTGGCATTTGAAGGTGTTGCTGTTTTCTTTTTCATCAGGGAAGGATGGAAAATCACCCTGGTAGGAAGTCGTTTCACCCACGCCGCGGAATCCCGCTATGCACCGGTCGAGGGGGAAGCACTAGCAGTGGTTGATGCCCTGGAGAAAGCAAGGTATTTTGTCCTTGGATGTAATGATTTGACCATTGCAGTTGACCACAAACCTCTACTAAAGATCTTTGGGGATCGATCACTTGAATGCATCTCGAATGCTCGACTACGTAACCTGAAGGAAAAGACCCTGCGGTACAAATTCCACATGGTTCACATCCCTGGAGCCAAACACAGAGCTGCCGATGCTGTATCTCGTCACCCAACTGGTAACCCTGAGAGGATAGTTCTAGTGGATGATATTGCAGCCATGGACTGTACTGAACTTTCCCCTTCTCTGGATGTTTGTCATAACATCCTTGCCTCCATCAGATGCAGTGAAGAACCTGACTACAGTGTAGAGGATGCCACTCTCCAGTCTGCTGCATCTGCAATCAGCTCCTTGGAACCCATCACGTGGAACAAGGTGAAAGTTGCCACCACTAGTGATGTATCCATGGCCAAACTCGTTGATCTTATTGAAACTGGGATGCCAGAATCCCGCCTTGAACTTCCTACCGCACTACGTGAATATCATCAGTTCAGAGAGCATCTCCACACGGTAGACGGAGTTGTGCTATACAAGGACCGGATTGTGATCCCACCAGCACTACGTGAAGATGCCCTTACTGCCCTCCATTCTGCACACCAAGGCGTCTCATCAATGATGTCCAGAGCTGAAGCATCTATCTTCTGGCCCGGACTCACATTGGCCGTTACAACCCTCCGAACCAACTGTGCTCACTGCAATCGGATGGCTCCATCACAACCAACAGCCCCACCAACACCACTAGTATACCCATCTTACCCCTTCCAATGTCTATGCGCTGACTTCTTTCATTACAAGGGTGTCAACTATCTGGTGCTGGTCGACAGATACTCCAACTGGCCAATAGTGGAGAGAACTGCTGGAGGTGCACCTGGACTCATCAACTGCTTACGACGCACATTTGTCACATTTGGCATACCTGATGAACTTTCCTCTGATGGGGGACCCGAATTCACAGCCTCTGCAACCAGAGAGTTCCTTCACACATGGTCAGTACATCATCGACTATCTTCTGTCGCCTTCCCCCACAGCAACTGCAGGGCAGAAATTGGCGTGAAGACAGTCAAACGCATGATCACTGACAACACCGGACCCCAAGGTGAACTTGACACGGATGCTTTCCAGCGGGCAATGCTTCAGTACAGGAACACCCCAGACAGAGACACAAAGTTATCTCCTGCTATGTGTGTTTTTGGCAGAGCCATCAAGGACTTCATCCCCATCCTACCCGGTCGGTACAAACCTCATGAGACATGGAGCGATACACTATTACTGAGGGAGGAGGCACTCAGAAACCGACATATGAAGATGGCAGAACGTCTCACCCAGCACACCAAACAGCTCCCACCTCTCGCAGTTGGTGACTTTGTCAGAATCCAGAACCAGATAGGGCCTCACCCTCTCAAATGGGACAAAACAGGATGTGTGGTCGAAGTTCGTCAATTCGACCAGTATGTTGTACGGGTAGACGGATCAGGTAGAGTGACCCTACGCAATCGGAAGTTCCTCAGGAAGTACATCCCTGCTTTCCAACCTCCATCTAGACGCTCAATCGCTGATGACTTGCCAAGGCCACAAACTTCTACCCTTGACAATACCACCACCCCCATACTATGTCCACATCCGGCTCAGTCAACATCAGAACACTTGACCACACCTACAACAGTCTCTACTGGTGACGAACAACGCACTCCGCATCAACAGCCAGTGCCGTCCAGACCAGCTGCTACGCCTGATGTCTCACAATCCACACCACCCTCACCTGATAGATCCGTCCACTCTGTCCTGTGATCAGAGAACCCACTGTTCTGACAGAGTCACCAAGCATCGATCCTTCATCGACCCTAACAGTAGACACAAGTGTGATCCACCCACGACGTTCTACCCGCACCAAGAAAAAGCCAAACTGGCTGTCTGATTACGTGCATGTTATTGAGTCAGAATAGTCTACCCAGTGAAAGCCCTGAATGCTTTATTGTCAGTTTCTCTCTTTATTCCAGTTTGTTCCAAACGTTTAGACTTTTCCCAATCACTTAAGGACAATTCAAGACATTATGCTTTATTTAACTCAAACCCGAGTTCTAGTCAGAACTGTTTCTTTCAGTCCTTGCCACATCTTTGTCAAGATCCGACAATGACCTGGGGAGGGATAGAGGATTATATGTTATTTAATTATCCATGTTATACATGATGTGTTTACTCTCATTGCAGATCTCCATCATTTATGATCGACCGTGAATAAACAGTCATCTGTAAAAAGTATTGCCTACTTATTTAGTCGTAGCGCTACGATCGCTTTGAGGAACGGGGCCCTGGAATGGTCTGAGCTGTCGTCACTGCAGTCTGGAGCCTGTCAGACATGGGTCATCAGTATCCATCTGTCCTCTCTTGGCATTTTCACACGTGGACGTCCTGCACGTGGTCCATCGGCAACTTAATTATTCCTCTGATAACGTCTCAACAGTGCTGAAATGTTCGGAGACAATGAAAATACGCAGTCACCTGACGTTGAGACAATACCCTACTGGCCGGTCCAACACCCTCATGACGTTGAGACAATACCCTACTGGCCGGTCCAACACCCTCATGACGTTGAGACAATACACTACTGGCCGGTCCAACACCCTCATGACGTTGAGACAATACCGGTACTGGCCGGTCCAACACCCTCATGACGTTGAGACAATACCCTACTGGCCGGTCCAACACCCTCATGACGTTGAGACAATACCGGTACTGGCCGGTCCAACACCCTCATGACGTTGAGACAATACCGGTACTGGCCGGTCCAACACCCTCATGACGTTGAGACAATACCGGTACAGGCAATACCGGTACAGGCCGGTCCAACACTCTCATGACGTTGAGACAATACCGGTAATGGCCGGTCCAACACCCTCATGACGTTGAGACAATACCCTACTGGCCGGTCCAACACCCTCATGACGTTGAGACAATACCCTACTGGCCGGTCCAACACCCTCATGACGTCGTGCAGTGGCACGTCGTGGCATGACGTGCGATTCATTATCTGTTAAGTTTTTAACCATCAACCGTTAAACAATTAAGCTTCCCAAATCGCCAACAGTTCTTGATATTCATGCACTGCGCGTATTTTATCGAGATGCACGTAAACTAACGTGTTACACGTTGCCATGCTGAATGCACTGACGGCACGAAACGTAGCAATTGCATTGTATTCAGTGCAATTCACTCGCGCGAACAGCAGCAAAATTGCTTATGCTGCGTTAAGCAAAATCCACCTGCTCACCCAGTTCAATCCACTATTTACTATGTTTGTATCTTTATTTGTGTACATATCTAGTTCCAGTGTATATTTTGATTTCCTTCCTATGTGCACAGGTTCTTTTTGTGCAGAGTAAACATTCATTTCTTGTCAATTTGTGCTGCAAGCCGAAGAAACAAGTTGTTTTCTCTGTATAGGAATGTATGTGCTTTCATCATGACAGGGTACACAGTGAGTGAGTGAGTGAGTGAGTTAACGCTGATTTGAACAGTATTTCAGTTATATGACGACACGTCAGTTCTGTGTTTTATCAAAGTCCGTAGTGGTAGGGGATTCACATCCTCAACATATTCTACGTCAAACACGGACAACGTTTTATGGCATGTTCACACGAAGATACACCTACTTTACGTCCTCCTAAAAACAAAAAAATAATACGCAGTAGTAAGCCCCAAACATACGGATACCTTAAGTAATCTGTTCATTTTATGCCAATGTATAAAATATAGCCCGTCCCACCGCCCTTGACGGTTTGTTTTTGTGAAGGAGGGTCTATTGAATAAGTAAGGCAGTCCTGTGATCTGGTGAACGTGTTGCTTGTTTATTGTTTTAGTTTATGGGACTGGCTGTGTTTGTTCAGGACTGGCCACATGATGGACAGCCAGTTCTTGGACAGGCCACATTTTATTATAACTATTTTATGCACTGTGTATGTACTAAATCCATTAATATTTTGACATTTACTGAGAGTTCTACTTCCCAAATGAACAATGGCTTATGTCCCTTGATTTATGACGTCACTGGTGCCAATCCATAAACGAATAACGTCATTGGGCCTAATTACCCCTGGTTCACGTGGTGTAGATACAGATATGTGTTTTAGTCTCGATGCACAGCCCCCCTTGTTTAGCCCCTGGTTACCGCAGCGACTTACATGTCCCTTCAACCCTCACCTTGATCTCGGATATACTTAAAAATACATCACGCACTCAAATGCACTGAATTTTGTGCGAATTACCCGTTTCTGTGATGTCATTATCAAAACACATTCTCTGTTGGACCGGCGGCATCAACCCAATGTGCGTTGACGTCGCGCATACAACACAAATAAACAAAATTGTTGTGGGTTAATGGTCATGAGCGTGGATTTTCTTGGAGGGACCCTGATTTAATAACTATGGAAGAGGAGTTAAATCGGGCGACTACGGAGTAGCAGACACCATATAATATACTGAGTCAAAAAAGAAACTTCACAAAATGTAATTTGAAAAATAATGAATTATTTTCTCTGATGATACATCTATGTATCAGAAATGGGATCCCTATCTTTCGACTCTAGAAAAACGTTAGCAAAACCCACTCAAACCCATCCATTCGTCGTGCAAATGACGTCAGTGCCAAATCAGGTTTTGCACGTGCAGTCGATCACGTGATCTTCGCATCGAAGATTTCTTCATATGCACGTGTCTGTTTTTGCCTCAAGAATTGAAAAAACACTTTGAAACCACAGTTCTAACGGTACTTGAAATGCCACGATTGTCAAATGTGCAACGTGAACGTGCCGTTGGCATGTTGCAAGCGGGAAGATCAGTTATTGACGTCGCAAGAGCAATAGGATGCAGCCGTCGTACTGTGTATGACTTGCGAGGTCGTCTACAACAAACTGGCACCACTGCTGATCGCCCAAGGTCGGGTCGTCCACGTGTGACGTCACGAGCAGAAGACCGTCAAATCGTCCTACGTCACCTACGTGACAGATTTCTGCCGGCTACACAAACCAGGGCTGATATGTTTAGAGGTCGACTGTCCTCACAGACCATTCGAAATCGGTTGCGGGCTGCCAATCTCCATTCTCGACGTCCATATCGTGGGCCAATATTGACGCCGTTTCATCGATGTCAACGTCTGCTGTGGGCCCAACGTCACCTCCGATGGACCCAGAGAGACTGGAATCGAGTCGTCTTTAGCGATGAATCCAGGTTTACCCTCAGATTCGCGGACGGCAGGCATAGAGTCTGGAGACGACGTCGTGAACGATATGCCCAGTGTTGTGTACAGGAATTCGACAGATTCGGGGGCGATTTGCAGGAACTTGGCGCTGCCTTGCAAGAGCAATGGCGCAGAATCCCCAACTACGTGTTCACAAGCATCAGGCAGTCGATGAGGAGATGGTGTTTGGCAGTGGTGAATGCGCGGGGCGGCCATACACGATATTGAACTGAGAAATTTCGGATTTTTATTCTTGTGACCTGACATTCTGTATACCCATGTTTTGGAACGGCGGTGTAGCCTAATGGAACTGATTATGGCACTGTCAGTGTATCGAGTACATCACACAGATCTCAGCAATGAAATAATAACAATTTAACCATCTTACCATCTCTTGTTCTTTTAAAGTGCCCTGAAGAAAGAATGTGAAGTTTCTTTTTTGACTCAGTATATTATATGGTCTCTGGGAGTAGACACCAGCCTGTTGAGGGTCTTGCGGGCCCCCTCGATGGCCGAAAACGAGGCGGCACCGCTCCAGTGACGACGGGGGAGCATGTTGGACCACAAGATCCTCGTGTTGGGCAGCAGTAGCTGCACCCGCAGCAGCGACTCAAAGATGTCGAGGTAGAGCAGGCTGGTCTTGGTCTGTATCATATCATTAGATCCGAGGTGGATTACGAGCACCGCGGGATGGGGTCGAACGACGCATTCCCTCTCGATGATTGGGACCAATTCCCTCCATCTCATCCCCCCTCGAACGTACAACGTCGAAGCGTCCCAGACGAACGTTGACCTCTGGCCATATAGGATGACCCATCAGCCACACTGGAAAGAGTGAGACAAGTGACAGGAAATATATCTGCTAGATTGTGCTAAATGATTACTGGCAAACGAATGTGGGATTCATATGCATCGGACCCCCATCTACCATATTTTTTTAATTATGTGTGGGCTAACGCCGTTTGCTGCCGCCGTAGTTGCAGCCCCAATCCTAAAAGAATGGGAAGAAAACGCTGAGGTGTCTACATCACTGTGCGCTAATGCTTTTTTAAGCACGGCCTGGAACTGATATCTTGTGAGAGGGGAGTGGTTAAAGTGGACAAAGGCTTGCTGTGGACCACTTGGCGAATGTTAAGGTAAGAATGGACAGCTGTCATGGGACACAAGGGGTTGGAGGGGAAGGAGGAAATAGCAACAAGCACACCTTTGTTTAGCCTATCAGTCCTAGAGCGTCTCAAAGTAAATTGTACTCGCCCGGCAGACATTGCTCATATACGTTGTTGCACACCGCTGGAAGATTACGGATTATTAACTTTAACAAATCGACAGTAATTGGTTTACGTGTGTCACGTCGCGACTGGTCACGTGACATGCCAGCAAGTAACTTAGAAACCAAGAAGTGATCGGTGCAATCCTGCCACCCATTTAACTTATGAAAGGATGATAGTGCGGAGATGTATGTTTTAGCTGTACTGCTGGAGTAATGGTTAACCGACAGATACGAAATAAAATGCACAACCTGATCAATCGGGGCCGGCCAAAGTGGTAACAGCTC